CAAAAAGCGAGGAGGTGAGGCTGGCACCTGGAGATGCCCTCCAGGCCCCTTGGCACCCAGGTCAGAGAAGGCTTGGCGGGAATGCTCAGGAGGGGTGCCAAACCCCACCTTCCCTTCTCCCAAGGTCGGCTGGCTGATATGTAGAACCAAAGAGAGCTCAGGGCATAGGGCAATCATGCGCCCCTGAGGGGGCCACCTGAGGGGTGAAGAGCCTATACTTCCAAGCCCCAAAACTCCAGAGCTAGGGCTCTGAGGCCAGGGAGGCAAAGTGCGCAGGTCTCCCCAGAGCAGGCATGAGCAGGCCACAAACTGGGGATGGAGGGGGAGAGCAGCATGGGCCACAGAGCCAGGGAGGATAAAGCAGGCCGCCAGAGAGAAGAAGGCAGTGTGGTCTGAGCAGAGGACAACCTGCTTCAGGGACTAAGCTGGGGGCAGCCCTGTTGGGGGGGTGGGCAAGAGGGCAATGTGACCTGGATGGGAGGGGGCTGCCCTGAGGCGGGCGGAGCAGGCTGTGGGTGGAGGAAGCCATAGAAGCCTGTGGCCTGAGAAGAGAAGCTTAGCAGACCTGTTGGAGGAGGACAGGGGAACACGATTAGTGGCAGCAACGGTGACATGTTGTCGGTGGCACAATGTCAGTGGGAGTGCCCTGGCTAGGAGCCCAGAGGCCGGAGTAACTTCTAAGCCCTGACTCCTGAGGGGAGCTGAGAGCCCAAGAGATGTTTATCTGCCACAAGAACGTGGTAAATGCCTCCTCCAACCGAGCCAGGGAGCGAGAGGCTGCCTGGCTGTTCCGTCCTGGGTCTCCTGAGAGCTGCAGTATAAAGGGGGAGGGGGTGCGCTGTTGAGGGGAGAGAGCAGCCAGGGGCAGCATCCCCCACTGGAGCCAGGTCCAGGAGAGTAGCACGCAAAGGCCGCTGGGATGGGGTTTCATCCCGCAGACGAAGGAGGGGGTGAGTCATGGGCGATCGCCAGGCCCTCTCAAGAGGCCGCTCAGAAACCAGCTCATCCGAATGCAGACAGACACTTGTCCCCATCCCTGTCCCTGTGGCTCTCACACACCCACGCACTCACTCCTCTCCCCACTCCTCCCTTCTCCTTCATCACCCACATCCACTGCCCCTGGCTTCTTCCTCCATCTCAGCCCCGACTACCTGTCCCTATCCCTGTCCCTGCCTGGTGGCCCACCTGGTCCCTAGTCCACAGCCACCCGCATCACAAGTGCAGAGGTAGGGAGACAGAGAAAGCCAAGTGAAGAAAGGTCTGAGATAGGAACAGATGAGGGAGGGAGACTGTGAACTCACTTCCGCCTGAAACCTCCAAGGATAGAGCAGGGTTCTTGAGGCTCTGGGTCAGAGGAGAAGCCCTGATGACCTCTGAAAGAAGCCCTGATGACCTCTGGAAGGGCCTGACCTGAGGGTGTTGGGCCAGGTCACTTTCACTCTCCAGACCCTCTGCCCCCTTTGCCAGGACCGAGAAGCGATAGTCTGGGATGCCCAGCTGACACCCAGAGGCCTCACCCCACCCCGGGGCACTAAGCTAATTCAGGCTCCCATCGGAATCACACCTGGACCACCACCACAAGGTCGGGACAAGTTACTCTGCCCCACCAAGGCTGTCCCTCCTGGTACATTGTGGTGCCCAAACTCCGTGTGCCTCAGGTGGAGGGATATAAGACCCCAGCATAATCCAAACCCAGCGCAGCAAAACAAATCTGAGGAGGCTGGAAACTTCCCAGCCCCAGGCTGGCAGGTAGGTTGGGATTGAGCAGGTAGCCTAGAGCAAGGTTACCTAGTCCTACCTAGTGACCCCAAATGTCTCCTTGTCCTCCACTTCCTCCTTGGAGAAATCTAGTGCCCACATCTAGTGGTTCCCCGGCAGACAGAACAAACACCCACCTCCCAGCCTGGGCCAATCCCTAACCCTCTGGGTCTGCTGCCCACTCGCAAGGTGCCCAGACTTACCAGAAACAGAGAAAGAGGGAGCGGTGTCGGAGAGGGGGGGTCCAGCTCCCCAGATCATCTTTAGGTCAGTCCTTGCTCTGGTAGGGCTTTCCCCGGTTCAGAAGGCCCCCTCCCTCCTGCCTACAGAGGTGGGCGACAACCGCCACAGCTACCCTGGGACCCACGGTCCACTCTGGACCAGCTCAGGGGAAATAAATTCTTTCAAAGCCTTTCTCCAGCATTCCCAGCCCGGCCCTAAAACTGACCTGAAGCATTTGCCCTTTTAAGTGACGGTCCTACATCCGTCTCTTCCAAGGACACGAGAGACTCAGGAGGGACCTCGGCTCAGCTCGGGCCTCCTCACCTGGTAGCGGCCCAACCCGCGCCTCCACCGCCTCCACCACCTCCACGCCCCGGGGCCACCGGCCCCGGCTGCGGGCTGACGGGCGCTTGCCCCGCGCGGCTCCCTACCTGTCTCAGGTGAGCCGGGCTCTGCCGGCCACCGCCACCCGCTCCCCCCGACCGCCCGCGGCGTCGTACCTGAAGCGGCAGCCGCCCGCTTTTGGCGGGGCCGGAGGCCCCGGGCTCCCAGCGCTCGACCCGCGCCGGGGCCGGGGGGCTCCCCGGGGGCTGGGGGCCGCAGGCGGGCCCGGGCTCCAGCGCCTCGCAGCACACCAGGCTCACGGTGCAGCCCATTCGGCCCGGCGCCCGGCGGGCCGGGGGCGGGGACGCCGGCGCGGGGCGGGGAGCGGGGAGGGGGGTGTGTGGGGACCGCCCCCCCCAGCCCTGGCCAGCAAGCGGCCGGGGGGCGCCCCGCACGTCGGGAGGGGGCAAGCGGCAAGGCCCCCCGCGCGGCCCTGCCGGGAGAGTCCTGGACCCGCGCCGCCAGCCAGCCGGGGAGTGCGGCCGGGCGAGGGGCCGGGACGCGGGCGCCCGGGCGCAGCCGGGGGCGGAGGAAACCCGAGGGGCGCGGGGAGGGGCTGCGGCGGCGGCGGCGGGGGCTCGCGGCCCGGGGCAGCGACCCGCAGAGTCTGGGAGCGCGAGAAAAAGACCGACGGCGCGACAGGGGAGGCAGGAAGCAGATAAGGAGAGAGAGCGTGGAAGAGACCGCGGACGCGGGGACCCGGGGGACGGGGGCGGGGGGGGGGGGAACGGGGCCTCTGCTCGGGGACACCAAGTCCCAGAGAGGGAGAGACGCGAAGGAAGGGGCGGCGGGAGGGCAGAGCCGGGCTCGGGCACTGCGTGTGCCACTGTTTACAGGCGGTTGCTGAGGTCTGGAAAACCGGAGTCTGCGCGGGAACCTGCTCCTCTGTTCTCAGCCCCCAGGACCCGCCCTCGGGGCACCCCAGCCTAGAAAAACGGGGACCGGGAGGTGGAAAGACCCCAGCCTCAAGGAGGCGGAGCCCAGCCAGGGTGGGAGGCCCACGGCCCCAGGGACACCCCTTGACCGGGTCCTGGATCCAAGCCTTCGCAGTGGTTTCACTTCCATTCTTGGGGGAGAGGGGGCGGGTCGGGCAGTATGGCCCTGAGGACCCCAAGACTAAGGTGGGGAGGAGAGAGATACAGGGCGATGGGGAGGACAGGGTCCCCACCTGCACCAGACTTCCACCGAGAGACTGAAGTCTGGCAGAGGAGCGAGAGAAAGGGTAATCCCAGCCTCTTGGTGCCCCCTGGTGGGGACAAGGAAGAAACACAAGAGCAAGTGACTGTGGTAACAAGGGGAAGGTAACAAGGGAACTTGCAGGGGGGCAATTGCTGCTGTCACTCAGAGTGAGCTGGTGTGTGGCCAAGGAGTGACTCTAGCACGTGGTCTGCCTGAAGGGTACCACCCCCCAGTTCACCCATTCTGCCCTGGCACCCTGGGCCCTGCCTCTCCCCCCTCTCCCCCCACCCACCAAGTTCTGTGCTTCTCCTGCTCTGAGCAGGGTTTCCCCCTCCAGGGTGCTGGGCTGGGCCTGAGTCACTTCCCCGGGTGGCATTCCGGGAAAGGCGGTGCAGGACCTGCAGTCACAAGGGACAGGTTCAGTCTGCAGTGCCCACTCTCCAGGCCTTCCCAGGTGAGGAGCAGGGAGGGGGTCTGGGGGAGGCTGGAGAAAGGGGTCAATGCCAGGAGTGGGGTGTGGGGCAGAGGCTCCTGGACAGAGAAGAGGGAGCTGAGGAGGCCCATCTAGGTGTTCATGGATTGTATAGAGTGGACCAGAAGGGGACGCAGAGACCCTCAGTCTGCCCTTTGGTCTACAGGTGGGGAAACTGATGCCCAGGAAAAGCAAAAGGTCACACAGTGAGTTAGTAGCAGGATCAGGATGGAGACCCAGGTCTCTTAACTCCCAGCTCAGTGTCTTCTGAACACCATCCCCATGCAACCTCCCTCATTCACCTTCTTTTCTCACTCCCTGCCCCTCTACTGTGTCCCCTGCTTCTTCCTTCCCACCCACCCCTGAGTTCCAGCAACTTCAGCCTGGGAGGCAAGACATGTGGGTTTCCCATGCCCGGCCTTTTCTCCAGGTTACATCAGGATAAGCCACCGGCCCCCAGCAGCCCCAGGGTTCCTCTCTGAGCCCCAGGACCCACTGAGGGAACAACAGGCTGCAGTTCCCCTGGGAGAGGACCACAGGATTAAAACCAGCTGCCCTGCTCCCACACATACCCAGTATTCTGGCACAGTCCCAGCTCTAGGGTCTCATTTTACTTCTAACTCCCTTTCCTCAAAGAACACACATTTTCCACTCAGCTGGGGGCCCGGAAAGGATGAATGTGTGCCTCAAGGCAGATGACTGCTCCAACAAGCTCCCTGTGGGGAACAGGAGTGACTCCCCCTCAGCCCAGTGTCCTCACGCAGGAGCATGAACAGGGCCGCTCATGCCAAGTCGCCCCGTGTGAGGGCGCACAGTCCTGAGTTCGAACTCTAGCTTCTCAGCTTAGAGCTTTGTGGCATCGGATCAAAGACTTCTCTGTCTGTCTGAGCACCCCTTTCATCTTGTATCGAATGGAGTTACAGACCTCCTAGACTATAATGGGGACTGAGTAAGACAACGATGTCAGGCATGGAGCACAGCGCCTGACACCCAGGAACTACCCCCATTCATGGGGGCCACACGATCACGTTCCCACACCAGCCTACAAGGAAGAGCTGGGGTGTTTATCCTACCTGTGAACTCACTGTGTGACCCTAGATATATCCGATTTCTGGCCCAGGCTGTGATTCTTCCCCTGGATAAGGAGCCATCCAGGAAGGGGCTCCTTTCCGGGTTGACCTCCCAGAACCACGAGGAATCCCATCATTCTGAAATCCTCATGGCGGAGGAGGGGGCCATCCTCACCAGGAACCTGAAAGGTGAGTGCATCTGGAGAAATCTTTTGGGCTTGAGTTGGGGGAGAAGGGAGGGGTCTTGGGAACTCCTCTGTCAGAGTCCCCACGACCCGGAGCCTGATGTCCACCATCCTCCCGCCCCCACCCCCGCCAGCTGCTGTCTCGGCCATCCTCCAGGGCTACGGGGGCCCGCAGCGGCCAGTGACAGATGCCAGTGCTGAGCTGCACACACTCTGTGGCTGCCTGGAGCTGCTCCTGCAGGTGACCCCCTCCCTGCCCTCCTCCCACCCGCCTCTCTCTGGCCCAGATAGCCAGGAGGGTTTTCCCAGATACTGAGGAAGAGCCACCGACTAGTTTCAGCCCTCTCAGAGTCAGCAAGCCCTCCCTGACATCTGACCTCACTCTTGAGGGTTGACACCATAGCCTAGGAAGTAAGTGGGGGCCCAGCTGGGGTCAGGTGGGGAGGGGTGGGGCAGGGCGGTCACCTGGCTCTGAGGACCAAAGTTTCAGAGGCAAGATATCCTCGGGCTGGCCTTCCTGCTGCTGGCCCTTTTACTTAGTACTTACCATGGGCCAGGCTAAGCCATCCTCCTGTCCCACCTTACTACATTCTCATTCTAGCCCCTTGAGGTGCCTGATGACCCTGCCACCCCCACAGATGCACACATAGCCTGTGTGTGTCTCTGTGTGTGATGCATGTGTGGTGTGAGTGTACATATATGTAGGCGTGAGGTGTGTCTGGTGCGTGTGTCGATCTCCTGCCAGTCTACCCCTCATCTGCTGCACTCCAGTCACGTTGGACTCCTTGATCTTCCTCAAGCATGCCAGGAACTCGCCCACCTCAGGGCCTTTGCACTTGCGATGCCCTCTGCCTAGACTGCTCTTCCCTCAGAAATGTGGATGGCACAACTCATTTCCTTCAGATCTGGACTTGAGTCGCAGTTCCTTAGTGAAGTTCTCTCTAGTTACTCTAATCCAAATTTTTTCAGATTTGGGAGAAGGGGGAGAAGAGCACAAGCGGGGGAGCACAAGCAGGGGAGCGATGGCAGAGGGAGAGGCAGCAGAGGGAGAGGGGAGAACTGAGCAGGGAGCCTGATGTGGGGCTCCATCCCAGGACCCCGTGATCATGACCTCAGCGGAAGGCAGATGCTTAACCGACTGAGCCACCCAGGGACCCCTCAAATCCAAATTTTTAACACATGCACACACACCCTAAATCACAAACACTCAGGCATACACTCCACACATACACACGACATACTCACACACATCACACACCACACCCACACCACATACATGCATGTGTGCACACACCACGTACTTTCTGGTCTCCTTCCCTCCTTTATTTTTCTCCTTAGCAGTCAGTACTGCCATAACATATGTTTTACTTATTCGATTTGTTCATTGTCTGTCTCCACTACCAAGTGTAAGCCCATGCGGGCAGCTTGTCCACTGCTGAATTCCCAGGGCACAGAACAAAGCCCGGCACAAAATAAGTGCTCCACAAGTGTTACTGGAGTGCATGACTAGAATACCAAAGGCTCAGAGAGGTCCAGCGCCTTGCTCGAGGTCACACAGCCAGTAAGGGCCGAGCCAGGTCTGCCCACAGTAGCCCTGTCCTCTCTCTGCATGCTGGGATACAAGGTGGGTGGGGGGTGGGGGGGAACATTTCTATGCTTTCCTGTCCCTCATCCCACTACCAGTTTGACCAGAAAGAGCAGAAGAGCTTCCTGAGGCCTCGGAAGGATTACTGGAACTTCCTCTGCGCCACCCTGTGGCAACAGCGGGGTAGTACGGAGCCGGCCCGCTTCATCCTCACCCAGGACAAGGTATCCAGGACCAGGCGGCCCTGCCACCGGGCCCTTGACAGGGATGGCCTCCAGGGGCCCCCTTCCCACCCATCCCCGCTCCGCTGACCACAGACTGCTCACCTGGTCCTCAGGTCTCGTTAGCCCCGCCCTCAGTATCCCTCCAATCACGTCTTTGCTCCCAAGACAGTACAAGCTCCCAGCTGGCCTCTGTGCTGGCTGAGTTCCCTCCGTTCTCATAGCACAGGGCCGTCCACCCCGCCCCTCACCACTATTCACCCGCTGTGCACTCTGCAGTCAAAGACACCTCTGGCAAAAGGCCGTGCCTTCATCCGCTTCTGCCTGGCCCAGGGACAGCTGGCCGAGTCCCTGCAGCTCTGCCTCCTGAACCCAGAGGTCACCAGGTGGGACTCGCGGCGCATGCTCCTCCTGACTCCCCCTGAGCCCACTGTCCTCCCCGTGAAACGTGCCCCCCCCCACCACACCCAGATGGATGGGTTAATGTCAAGGACAACTAAAACGAGAGCCATGAAGGGAAAGTCAATGAAGAAAGGGCAGAGGGAGGGGGGTGGTTAGAACATAGGAATCCCAGTAGCACCATGATACTCAAGCCACCTGCTCCCCGAGGGCCGCAACCCAGCTGTGGGAATCATGCCATGTGGTGGACAGCAGATTCTCAGGGGTCCAGGGGGCAGCAATAGCACCAAAGCCAAAGGCCAAGGGTGCTGGTCGCCATTACCACAGGGACTGGTATGGCCCCCGGAGCCCTCTGGTGTGCCCCAAGCTCCGGGAAGACCTCCTGGACTCTCTCTACGCTCTCAATGGGGTGGCCTTCGACCTGGACCTGCAGTGGCCGAACCTGGATGAAGCCTGGCCCATGTTCTCAGAGTGAGTGAGGGGGAGGGAGGCCCCCTCTTTCTAGGGCCTTACTGCCATTTGACCACCACCCACCCCAAGCAAGCTCCAAACTCGGCCTGCTAGCCTTCCCTTCTTGCTGTCTGAGCCCCTGATGCCCCCCTCGCCAGACTTCTGTTTTCCCGGAGTAAGCCCCTCATGTCACGTGAGGCTGCACACAGTACATACTCTTAAGGAGCCGCTGGATGCTTGGGGTGGGTGGTCAGAAGGATGAGCCCCGGGTGGACGTGAGGATGAGTGGTGGGTGGGGCACAGGCAGGGATAGAGAGAGCCGGAATTGGCCGTGAGGGCGGGAGGGGTGCTGTGGTGCCTGGGTGGTTCAACTGCTACCAGAGAAAGGCCCCCAGCCAGCCCCACCCCACCCTTTATCCTCAGGTCCTGTCACTCCAGTCCCAGACGGACCCAGGGAAGAAGACCCAAAAAGACCAAAGATTCCCCAAAGCAGGTGCCTCTGCCCAACTTCATTCCAAGTTGCCTGCTTTACATCTCTGTTGGGCCCCCCAGGATGAGCAGTAACCAAGCAGACAGACAGACAAACAGACAGATATCAAGGAGAGAAGGGGACCGTTGGCACCATCCGCGGGAGGCAGGGGACCCAGGGTCAGGGGAAGTGCTGTGCTAGGTAACTAGAAGCACATAGGAAGGCCTCCATCGAACAATGGGCAAACTTCTCAGTTCAGTTTGCCAAGGGAGCAACTGAAGAGCCAGGTTTCTGGGTTCAAATCCTAGCTCTGCCCCTAATAACCAAGGTCTTTGGCAAAGTACTTGTCTTGCCTTGAAGGTGATTGTGAGGGAGCGTTGAGACAGTTGAGACAGAACATGTGTAGCCCACATGTTCAGGAAGGGTGGCTTGTGGCTATTGTCATTCCCCAGTCTTGCTCTGCAACCCCTCAGCTTCCAGGCGCCAGGTACAGATACCACGAGGACTCAGCCTTTGGCCAGAAGGGGGAACCTCTCACAACACAGCCTGTTAATCGAGGTGATGCAGACATGCGCAGAACAACACAGGAACACACAGAAGGCTGCTTGAGAGAGGGGACTCTCGGCCACTGTGGGTCTCTTTAAGATTTCACCACAACCCTGTGGGGCAGGTGTTATTACTCCCATTTCACAGGCAAGAAAACTGAAACAGAGAACTTCAGGGGGCAGGATGGAGGAGAGGAGAGGGTGGGAAGAACTCGGAAACTAGATCAAGGTCACAGGTCAGGGTGGGGAGGTAAGGAAAGAACACTGAGAGGCACCTCTGCTCCCTGACCAGACAGGAACTCGGCCCCCGGATCCACCTGGGGTGCTGGTAACTGGGGGTGGTTTTGGGGGCTTCTCTGCAGATCCCAGCCACATATGGAGACCCCACAGGAGCCCAGCCAGAAGAGCCACACACTAGCCAAGCTGGTCTGCAAGCTGCGCCCAGGGAAGACGGGTTAGCTGGACTTCCCGGGGCCTGGCAACACAGGCATCTTCTTCCCTTCGTGGAAAAGAAGAGAGAAGATCCCAAGAGCCTCGGGGCCCCACGGAGCACGTGGGAACCAGAGGGGAAGGAGCTTCAGCCAGCCCAGGAGAAGGGAGCCCCAAGAACTGGGGTCTGCCTGGAGAATTCAACCCCCAGTAGCCAGGGACAGGGGGAAGGGACCAACAGAGCTCCAAAGGAGGTGATAGGGACAGAGGCGGAGGGAAGGGGGGTTCTGCCCGGTGCAGAGGGGACCCACAATGGGGAAACAGAGTGGGGTCATGTCCACAGGCTGCTGGCCTCCAGCCCCACAGGGACAATAGAGGACACAATGTCAGGGAGCTGGCAGGAGTGGGAGGCATCTAGCGGTCCGGGAATGCCTGGGGTCCTACCGGACCTGGGAACAAAGGAAAACTCCACCCCAGAGAGACGGCAAGAGGAAAGAGGAGTGACCAGTGTGACCAGGAAGAAGGAGCCGGCAGAGGTGGCCTTGCAGGATGTGGTCAAGGTGAGAGCAGCTGAGCGCTGTACCTGCCTCTTCTCCTCCCCCAACCCGGCCCGCAGGTGGGAGTCATCAGTGGTGATGGGGAGGGGCATCCTGTGCTGATCAATTCTGATTGGTCCGCACAGGATGATTATTCTTCGAGGGGGGTCTTCTTGCTGCGAGCTCTCGCCGGGGCCACTTCATTCATCAGTCCTACGTGCCTGGCCCCTTGCGGGCACTTGAGTCTGAGACCCCTCCCCAGCAGCTCTCCAGGGCAGCCGCCTAGCGGCCCTTGTTGTACTTGCTTCTCCCGGAGATTACCAAGACTGATTTCAAGCTTTCCTTCGGCCTCCTCTCTAGCCGGGGTCTTCATGCCCCTTGAGCTCTGTAACTCTCATCCCTCGGCCAAGGAAGAAATGGCCCCAGGCTCACCCAGGGGCAGAGCCTGGCGTCTCAGCTCCCGGTGCTGTCCCCAGTCCCGCTCTCCACCCAAGGGCTGTCTCGCCGGGCCTGGGGTCTCCGGAGATGTCGTGAGGTCAGACCCGGAGCTGGCATCTCCGCCCTCCTCCCTCAGCCTCCCTTCCCCTTCCTTTACTTCCCACCCCCAAGAGCCTGAGACACGAGCTCCGGAAGACCAAGGAGCAGGCCCGGCACCAGGAGCAGCTGCTGAAGGAGCAGGAAGGGGAGCTGAAGACACTGCAGGAGCAGTTCAGCAGGTAACCTTGGCAACCGTCCGCGCAAACAGGCCTGGCCGGGAGGCCCCCAGGACCTGCGGCGCTCCCTGGCTCCTGCTCGCCCCCTCGTGGTCACGCCGGGAAGCGCCTTCTGAGTGGCTCCCGCACGGGGCACAGGCTCAGGAGGGCGAGGTTTGCAGGGCATAACTCCTGGGCTCCTTGGGGAGCTCCCACTGGCCCCGAGCCCTGCCGGCCCCTCCCTCTCTGGCCTCCCCGAGAGCCTGCAAGAGAGGTGAATGCCTCCTGCCCCTCCCTCCCCTCCCACGCTCCCCTCTGCCCCTCTGCTGCCGCTCTGCTCTTTTCAAGCCGGTCTCCTACCCTGCTCTCCATCTTCCCTCCGTATCCCCTCTCATTTTCCTGCTTCCTGTTCCAGCCTCTCCTTCACCCTCGTGAGTCACAATCGTCATTGTAACTATCACGTACCGAGCACTTACTATGTCCCTGGCACCGTTCTAGGTGTTCCCTCCTAACCTATGAAGTAGGTTCTCTAAGAATCCCAATTTTATAGATGGGGCAACTGAGTCTCAAAGGTGCTGCACAATTCACCCAATGTCACTCGTTAGTAGAGGAGCTGAGGTCCGCACCCCAGCAGCCGACTGCAGCACCGGAGGGCTTACACACGGGCCCTCAGGCCCTGTTTTGAGCGCCTGTGTTTATTTCAGTCCCTGCGCCTCTGCCGCTCGGCCCCCTCTCACCATCCAGCTTCTCCCACTTTCCGTCATGCTATTAACCTCAAGAGCCCAGAGCACACTCTCTCCACATCTGAGTTTCTCTTTCAGAATTTTAAAAATATTTCCGCCATGCAAAGGTCTTCCTGGGTCTGACTTAGTCTCTGTGTCTGTCTCCTGTGGTCTCCGTGTGCCTCCGTGTGCCCACTGGGCTCTGTCTCTCAAGTGTGGCTGAGGCCCACCCCGGGAGGTGCCAGCCCAAACCCCATCAGAGCCTGGGTAGTTGTGCTTCAGACTGAATCTCGGGCCGCTTGACAGACTCTCTGCTGAAAAGGCTGAGAGAGGCTGCGGGCCCAGAAACCAACCCCAAAAGGCACCCCTCCCCGGGCTTCTCCCACCGGATGCTCAGCTGAGTTTGGCGGTTTGGTCAGGAAAGATTCCTGTGACCCAGGCCCTAGGCGAACGCAGGGGCCTTGCCCACCCAGGAGCCTTCTCTGGGAATCACGATGGGCTGGAGGGAGCAACTGGGAGACCACCAGGCCCAGGCTGCTCCCTCAGCTAGGGGAGCCCCTGTCTCACAGCCCACTATCCTGTCACCTGTCATCCCAGCCATGATCCCACAGACACTCAGATTGCCTACTCGGTGCCAGGCCTGTTGTAGCATATCAGAAATCCTCTTGCAGACAACACAGACCAAATCCCTGTTCCTGGGGAACGTCCCTTCTAGTGGGGGAAAGCCAATGGTAAACATGATAAGCAAGTTAATTGCATAATGTCAGATGTGACAAGTCCTAAGAAGGAAGAAAGTCAAGCAGAGAAAGGGGGTGGGAGTGTCAAGGGGTATAGGTTAAATATGGCAGCATGGCCAGGGAGGGCCTCCCTGAAAAAGTGATGCTTGATTGAGGACCTGAAGGAAGTGAGGAATAAGCCCTGTGCATATGTGGTAGAAGAATGTTCCAGGCAGTGGAACAGCAAGAGCAAGGGCCCTGAGGTAGGAATGGCCATAGCAGGTCATCAGAACATCACAGAGGCCCAGTGGAGTGAAGGAGGGAGAGGAGGGAGGGGCAAGTCAGTCAGGTAACAGGAGACCCTCACAGGTCATCCAGAGGACCTTCGCTTTGACTAAGAGTGAGATAGGAACCACTGAGAGTCCTGAGTAGAGGAGGGACAAGAATTGACTTTTGGCTTTAATGTTAAGTATGTTTGCTTTTTTTTAACAGTTCAGTGGGGTTTTGTGTATTCATAAAATTGTTCCTCGATCACCACGGTTTAGGACATTTTCATCACCCCAAAGAGAAATCCTGTACCATGAGCAGTCACTGCCATTTTCTCCCAACCTCCCAGCCCTAGGCAAGCATTCATCTGTCCCCATAGACCTGCCTATTCCAGACTGATCTGTGCTCTCAGGGGCTGGAGGCTGCTGTTCTGTGGGGCTAATCTGTAAGGAAGCAAGAGCGCTGATGAAGAAGGGGAGCACGGTTGAGCCCCCAGATGTTCTCTGGCAATGGAGGTGCAGAGAAGCTGCAGGATTCTGGAGCCACAGTGAGGCCGGGGTTCCTGGTGGGAGAGAGAAAGACAGGCATCAGGAATGACTCTTGTTTTCTGGCCTGACCAGCTCGGAGTCTGGAGTCCCCGCTGACAGTTTGCCATAGCAGGGAGGGCTTGTGGGGGGAAAGTCAGGAGCTGGGGCGAGAGCATGTAAGTTTGAGATGCCAGTCGGACAGGCAAGTGGAGCTGCTGGGCAGCACGGAGGGTGTGGAGCTCAGAGGAGAGGCATGGGCTGGGGATCTGCTGGAAAGTCATAAGAACTCGGGTAGCAGGAACAGAAGCTCCTGCGGCTAGGAGGACGGGGGATGTGCTCCCCTGGCGCCTGGGGTCCAGGGAGCTCGGGAGGAATGTCATGCTCGGGGGTGGGGGCTGTGGGCACCAAGCTGGGATGGGCTGTCTCACCACCGCCAGACAGAAGTGCCGTGGGGCCCACTGAATCAGCCAGCAATAGTGTTGTCCCTCTACTGAGGCCGTGAGTGGGATGACAGCAGTGAGCAGAACAAGGCAGTTGACAATTCAACAAATAGAAATGGAATGTCAGCTAGTCATGGGGTCTGTGCGAAAACATCAGTCCAGGAACATGGATAGAGACAGGAGTGCTCCCCGAAGGGGGCCCGCAGATGCGAAGTCCCTGTGGGGCTGGAGCAGAGGGACACTCCCACGTGCTCTGGAAGGCTGGAGCAGAGTCTTGAGCGGGAAGTGGGGGGTCCCCTGGGCTTCAGGATTGCTCTGTCTGTGGTGTGGAGAATAGAGTGAAGGTGGGCAGGGGCACGGCCCCTGGGTGCAGAGCCCCAGGCTAGACACACAGGGGAGACACAGCCGACCAGCCAAGCACCAGACCTCAGCAGACCAACCAGGGGCCAAGAAAATACACTTGGAACTGAGCTATGGCGCATGCAATAACCACTTCCCGGCTTTCTGGCCAAGCCACCTTGGGAAACTGGCCTTCCCTGTTTGGCCTCCAGTCCCTGATTTGCAAAAGGAGATGGTGCTAGAGTTCCTCCTACAGCTCTGATGCTCTCTGAGACCATCCTGCCGAGCAGGTGGGTTTCCTCTGCCCCTGGGTAAGACCTCAAAGCAAAAGTGATTAGATCAGGTGTGAGTGGAAGAGGTCCTCAGATGGGGAATTAGGCAAACATCACACTTCTCCCCCTCCTGCTCCCCAGTGAGCTTCTCTGGGGCACACCAGGGGCTCATAAGGACCCATCCTTTGCTCCCAGCCGCTGCCCACTCCATTCTGGTGCTATAAACTGCTGGTGACCAGGGCCCTGCCTGGATAAAAGTGTGGGGAGGCAGAAAGAGTTGATGGCCTGACAGGTCTGCCTCCAGATTTCGGCTCCCTCCACTTATCAAACCTTATGGCCCTCAGCAAGTGTGATTTCCTCTCTGAAGCTCTATTTTCTTTCCTGTAAAATGACAACTGTCTTACCTGTCCGTACGTTTGTGAAAATTAAATGAAGCCAGGCTATAAAACACCGAGCTCAGGGTCTGGCATGTAGTAGGTGTTCAATAGACTTGAATTCCTCTGTGTCCCCTCCTGCACCAGGAGTGTCTATCAACCCCCACTTGAAATACTTCAGTGGCTTTCCATTGCACTGAGGTCGAAGTCCACTCCTCTCGGGGCCAGCGAAGCAGAGATCAGGCCCCGCCTCCTTCCAACCTCATCTCTTGCCCACCCCCACCTCCTGCCCTTCATGAAATTCCAGCTTCCCTTGTCTTCTTTCAGTTCCTCAAAGAAGACAAGCTCTTGCCAATTTGCAGACCTTTGCATGTGCCTTTCACTGGCTCTACATGGCTGAATTCTCATCTTTTGGATCTGCTTAAAGGTCCCCTCATCTTAGGAGCCTTTCCCAAGCACCCTCTCAAGTCTGTCCCCGCCTCTCCTATATGCCGATTATACCCTTAGCTTCAACGTGTCACTGGCCTGTCACTTGCTTTGACCACTGCCCCAGACACACTCTAAGCTCCACCAAGAGCCATAGGCACTGCTCCTATGCCCCCTCTAACAGCCCCTGGCACACAGGAGGTGCTTAATAAATGTTCCCTCCCACCTCAAAGACACACTGTAATCATGGTGCTCACATCTGGGTCTGCACCAGCCCCAGCAAAGGCCCTGGGATCAGTATGCAAGTAAACTAGCTCGACAAAACGAAACACCAGTACTAAGTAAGGATACTGGAGACCAGAACGTTCACTAAAAGTCCAAACATGGCCCTGAGCACAAGAACAGCCTTCCTTAGGCTGCAGGGACTGGCAGGTCTGCTGGAATTTCCATGGGTATCTGTAGTCGATTTGATCTTACAGTCCACCCAGCTTTCTTTCTGAGGCCTGCTACTCAGCAGTGTTGTAAAAATTCATAATTCGGTTCATTGTGAAGCCTCTAGCAAAGCCTCAAACCCATTGAAGCCCAGGGTGGGGCCACACACAGACAGACACACGCACACACATCTGAGGTCACAGGATGTGTGGACCCGCCTTTGCAACACCCTCCCATCTGAGCGGTGGAGGGAAGGGCTGGGACCTTCTTACTTCCAGTCCAGCAGATTTCTTGGAACCTTCTAGGAAGCCACCAAAGACAAAAGGAAGAGGCCAGAACAGAGCTGAGGCAATGCCAAGCCCAAACTGAAACAAAAATTTACGAAAGCCATATGTTTAATTTGCCTTTTTTAATTGAAAAGACAATGTACCATAATTTTTCAAAATATTTTAATAACTAAAAATCACCCCAAGTCCTACACCACTAACCCCCCCCCCAACCCAACAGTTGTTCTCGGCTAAGTACAGCCCAACCAGCCTGGGGCCCCAGACACCAACAGTGTCCGTTTGGTGTGTGTGGTATGGTGTGTTGTGTGTGTGTGAGCATGTGTGGCACAGGAGGGTGTGGGGGTGTGGAGAATGTGTGGAGTATGTGTGTCTATGTGAGTGTGTGTGTGTGTGGTGTGGTGTGAGTGTGTATATGTGCGGTGTGTATGGTGTATGTGTGGCCCACGGTATGCGTGTGTTCTGTCATACGCATGTGGTATGTGTGTGTTATGTGGTATAGATGTGTTGTGTTGTGAGTGTGTTGTGTGTATCTATGATGTGTTGCCCCATGTGTGTGGGTGTGCTACCAGCATGTAGTATATGATATGTGTGTTATATGGTGTGTGTGATGTGTGTAGTATGTGTGGTGTATTGTGACTTGTGTGGTGTGTGTTGTGTGGCATAGTGTTCGTGTTGGGATTGTACACAATGTATGTGGTATGTGGTGTGTGTGTGTATGTGCGGTGTGGCACGGGGGGATTGTGAGAGGTGGGAGTACGTGTGTAGTGTGTGTATATACGTAAGCATGTGTGTAGTTGACATGTGTACATGTGTGAGGCATGTACAGTGTGTGTGCACACCTTAGCTGTGGGAGGCACCACCAGCTTCCCCCAAGAGCCCCCCAGCAGGCAGAGGCCTGGCCTACCTCAGGCACAAACACAGAGAACTGAGTCCTCCTTCTGTGCCCAGGTGTCAGGAGGAGAGGGCCCAGCTGCAGACGGAGCTTGAACAGAAGCAGCAGGAGGCTGAGAGGAGGAACGCCATGTATGAGGAGGAGCTCGGAGGGCAGCGGGACCTGGTCCGCGCCATGAAGATGAGGGTGCTGGAGCTGATTCAGTAAGGGCAGACATGGTGGGGCTGGGGTATAGAAGGGGGGATGGAGTGGGATGTGGAGACTGGGGAATGAAAATTCTCAACCTTTTCTGTATGCTAACTCATCTTTTGGCCACGCCAGCTGTTCTCCTCATTTTATAGATGAGAAAACTAAAGGTTAGAGAGGCAGACTTCGCCACCAAGGACATACAGCATATAAATTACAGAGAGTCCTCTGGCTCTAAGGGACACCACCACTCCAATGCACCCGCACATATACACACCTACAAGGTTAGGGGAAAGGAAAGGAGCCCACGGATAGAGAAGGAATTGAGAGAAGGGGGAGGTTAACTAAGAGCAAATCATATGTCCTATGCCTGACTACCTGCTTGGCTTCCACAGACCACCAGGCCTGTGGGCCATCCTGGGTCATCTGTCCTAGGTTCCAGAGGCTGGACTCACCAGGATCAATTCCAAACCACTAACACACTGGGGGATGGAGGAGTTGTGGAAAGCCTGGTTTCTGCCTTTCAGGCCAGTGGGGAGCTAATGTTATACTTTGACCCAGTTCAGGAAGCAGGGTACCACTGGCCTCAGCTTCCATTTTAATTGGAAAGTCATGGAGGGATCATCTAGAGCTAAATCCTCTGGCACAAAATCCAAGTGATACTAAAGATGAGAGAAGACAGAGGTCAACCTGGAAAGAACAAACCAAGAATTTAAGGAATGATCTCCTCCAAGGAGCTGTCAACTGGGAGAAAGGGGGACATACAATGTTAGCTTTATAGCTCACAAAAGAATTTGAGGTAGCCAACAATAAAAGACACACACACACACACACACACACATACACATATATATAATTGTTATATATAATATATATGATTGTTAAAGAAAAATAGAGGAAATCAAAGAGAAAAAATATATGCTCCCAAGATATTAGGATTAGCGTTAGGGTTGAAATTTAACTCTGAGCATCTTGGCAGCAGAATATAAAATGGAAACACAGAAAGTTGACTAAATGTCACTAGGCATTCCAAGGAAATACGCCAGTGCATCAGGAGGGAAAAATGCTTTTCCTCATGTTAAAGAAACTCATCCCAAGATCCCAGGCTACACAGTATAATGTCCCTTGCAGAAGCATCATGGAAAATCTGGCCCTAAGCCAAAAGAGGCAGTGGAAAGCCCTAGACGCTGACTTCTGCATCAGGATGGTAGACTGACACAACGCATCACATATTTTCCATCCTGAGATCTCACTAAAATGATCAGAAAGAAAGAGAGAGAGAGAGAGAGAGAGAGAGAGAGAAAGAAAGAAAACTTGTAACAGAGAGAAAGGTAGAAGAGCCAACAACAGAGAAGAGACTTCAGCGACTTTCCAGAAACTGGAAAATGGATGAAAAAGTAGATACTGGATTTAGCCCAAGTTAGAACTTCAGGGCCCAGAAATACCAGGGATGTAGATGGCAGAAATGACATGGGAGACAGAAATCAGGAAAAAATAACTGATAAAGTCATTAGAAAGAGCAGTGTACCCTGCTTTCTGCCTGCCTCCCTGACTGCCGAATGTCAACACTGAGGGTTTTATCTCCCAGGCAAATAATTAAAATGCCCTTCTCTAAAAAAAAGTCAGATGTCCCCAAATGAAAGGGCAGTGTGTTCTGACATTCGACAGTCCATGGGGCAAGTAGCTCCCTGCCCAGTCCTTCCTAAAGGGAAGCCACAAACCAACCAACAGCCCTGTCCACTACTTGAGGCTCCAGCAGCTTGAACATGAAATGGTAACCAGAGCCCCAGATGTTTGAAAAGAATCTAGAACATAAAGGGGGGAGACAAAGATAAGCAAACCAAAAAAATCCATCTCCCATGAAACACGGTGCTGTGGAAAGTGACCATCCAAAGGTGAGAAATGTTCTTGGAAATTAAAAATATCTCTCAAATTTTTTTTAAATTCATAAGGACTGGAAGAGGAAAAGGAGGCAGTCCCTCAGGGCATAGCTTACAGGGCATGAAGAGGTGGAATACATGATAGAAACAATTGCAAACATAAAGAATCAATCCAGGAGTCTCACTGTCCTCTCCAACTGACAAGAATTCCAAAGAAAGACAAAATAAAATCAAGGATATTATCAGATAAAAAGCTGAGAGACTTTCCCAGCTCTTGGGGTCACAGGTCTCCAGATGTAGAGATGTCACTGAGTGATCAGCACAACAATCGAAAGGAAGGGAAATGCATGTTGAGATATAGTGTGTGAAATCTCAGTAAAATAAAGATGAGGACAATATACTCACACACATCACTTATAAAAGAACTAAGACACAGAAAAACATGTTAGGGGTCAATGGCGCCTGGGTAGCTCAGTAGGTTAAGCAGCTCTTCATCTTGGCTCAGGTCTTGATCTCAGGGTCGAGTTCAAGCCCTGCATTAGGCTTCACACTACGTGTGAAGTCCACTTAAAAAATAATAATAATCAATGCAGTCATACTTTCAAGTTCTGAGGAAAGATAGCTTTTGCCCCGGAATTCTAGGTCCAGCCAAACTATGAAGCCAATAGGGAAGGTGATGCAGGAAAGACATTTTTCAGAAAGACAGGTCACAGAAAATGCACCTCCCACACAGCCTTTCCTGGGAAGTTAATTAAGGATATACTTCAGAAAAACAAGGAAGTAAGCCAAGAAAGGAGAAGATGTGGAATTTAGGGAACAGTCATGGTAGCCCAGGAGAGAAGAAAAGGGAATCCCCAAGATGACAAAAGGACAGCAAGCCCAGGGAACAGTCAGTGCAGACTTCAGCAGAAGTATTGAGGACCCAGGAGGAAAGTCTCTGGGGAGAAAGAGAATCAACAGAATAACTGATATGATGAACAATTTGTTGGGGAGAGAGAATAATTAGGCTATGTTAAAGATAAGTCATGCAAGAAGCAAAGGAAGGCAATCACAAAGTCCTGGAAAAACAGAAAATTTCCAAGAAAGGAAATGTGTAGAACACATCTTAGCTCTCCTTGAAGCAATATATTTATATGTTGTCTAATACAGTAAATACTATTTATTGATTTTTTTAATGTTGGAATTAACCTAAAGACCAAGCACAGAAAACAACTGCAATTACAGAACAAATGTCCATTAGCACTTAAACAATATTACATATAGAATAGAATCTAATAGAATTTCTATGAGGATGGAAATGTTTGCTATCTGCCCTGTCAAACATGGTAGCTACCACTCACATGTAGCAACTGAGTACTCCAAATGGGTTTTGTGTGACTGAAGAACTGAAGTTCTACTTGTGGTTCATTTTAGTCAAATTAAATATAGATTAAAGTAGCCACATGGGGCTAGCAGCTACCATATTGGATGTTGAAGGAAAAGATGAGTAGGAAAGGAGAAGAGGAGTCCCCCGAAGAGGAAGGGATGCTGGCATCATCATATTACAGAATGGCAGTCCAGATGCTATCTGTGCTTCATAGGATGAGTGAGAAATAAATGTGTGAGCATATTCTGGAAAACTACAATCGTGAGAGAGGACCCAGAAATAGGGGTATTCTGGAGAGGAAGGAGATTTAGTCAGTGGGGATGGTACTAACTAAGCTAACCCCCTGACATCAAGGTAAGGTGTTCGTTCTCTCTTGATGTGTCAAGGAGAGAGGAGATGAGCATATTACTTAAGTGTGGAAGTAATATCAAGGAGAAAAAGCTAAAAGTATAAGAAGTGGTTTGTCACTGAGATTGGAGGGAGTAGGGAGGGTGTCTGTTTCCTTCTGGTATAAGTTCTTCTGTACTATTGGATTTTTAAGTCATGTGTATGTATCATTTTGATTAAAAAATATATATTTTTTTCTGAAGAGGGAAACAGAGGGGGAGGGGCAGAGGGAAAGAGAAAGAGAATCTGAAGCAGGCTCCACACCCCGCTCAGAGCCGGGGGCGGGGCTCAATCTCGCAAAACCCTGAGACGGTGACCTGAGCCAAGAGTGGGAGCTTAACTTACTGGTGAACACAGGTGTCCCCTAAACATCCTTAAAAAAGAAAAAAAAAAAAAAAAAAAACAGGGACGCCTGGGTGGCTCAGTGGGTTAAAGCCTCTGCCTTCGGCTCAGGTCATGATCCCAGGGTCCTGGGATGGAGCTCCGCATCGGGCTCTCTGCTCAGTGGGGAGCCTGCTTCCTCCTCTCTCTCTGCCTGCCTCTCTGCCTACCTGTTATCTCTGTCAAATAAATAAATAAAATCTTAAAAAAAAAAACAACAACCCAGTGAGGATAGTTTTGCCGGAGTGTAGCATACGTAACGAGAAGGATTGGTATCAAGTTCCAAATGAAAGCTAAGAGCATTATAAGAAACTGCTGGGGTCTCCTTGGAGGAGGTGGGCTATGAAGGTTATGTGGGGCTAGGGGGACCCGGGTGTCACCATCTATCTTCCCAAAGACTACAGACTCCCTCATCTCTTGTGTGTGTGTGTCTTTCATGGTCTCTTCATTTCTGTCTTTCTCTATCACTGTCTCTGTCGCTCCATCTTTCTCTGTATTTGTCTCTCCCTCTGTGTGTGTGTCCCTGACTGTCTCTGCATCTTGTTCTCTTGGTCTTTCTCTCTCTCTACATTTATCTCACTACCTACCTCTCTTTATCTCCCTCTCCATCTCCCTGACTTCCTTTCTCTCTGACCATCTCTCTTTCTGTCCCTCTGTGTCTCCCTCTCATTTTCTATGTCTCTGTCTTTCTGCTTTGCTGCCTCTCTCTCTCTTTTTTTTCCTTTGTATGTGTCTCTGGATGACTCTCTCTCCCTCTCTATCTCTTCTTGGTCTCCATGTTTCTCTTTCTCCCCGTCTTGGTCTCTCCATCTTCCAATCGCTTTGTGTGTCCCCATACCCCCACCCGCCCATCAGAGAGAAGGATGACCTGTGGCAGAAAGCCCAGCGTCTGTCTTCCACGGCCCCCGGATGCTGTGTGGACTGCAGTAAGATCTTTGGCCGACTGTCTCGGCGATACCCGTGCAGGTAACTGAGAGGGCACAGAAGTCTTGCTCTGGGACAAGTGCTGTTTCCACCAGCCCACAGCACTCTGCCCCTGCTCAGAAGGGAGGGACCCAGGAAGTGGGGATTTATGAAAGCCACTTAACGCTGGCCACTCACTTTACATAACAGTTAGCGTGGACATGAACCAGAACAGTGGGAAGGGGTCAGACAAGCAACAGTGTCTGGAAGATGGGACTGTGCAATCCTTCCGAGAAGAGACAGATGAAGAGGCTTCTGGTCTGGGAGGAGATCTGAACATAGGAAGCTACTCCCCTCACCTTCTTCTGGGAACAGGGTGGCAGGACTAACCATGGGAGGGGGCGAGCAGGAGAACCTGTCCTTTGGATTTAAAGGACTCTGGAGGGGGTGGAGCATTGAGACACCTTTTAGGAAAGGGGAGGTCTTCTTGGACAGACCCAGGGCTGCTCTGCTTGGGAGCTAGGAGCAAACCCGATGCTTCCCTCCCAAGTACACACCCAGGAGCTCCCCACTCTTCCTTCCTCTGCTCCCAGGCTCTGCGGAGGCCTGGTTTGCCATGCCTGCTCTGTGGATTACAAGAAGAGAGAACACCGCTGCCCACCCTGCTCTGAGAAGGGAGAAGCTCAATCCAGCTGACGGGCTCACCCAGGACGGGCCACCCACCCCACCCCGGTCACCTCCCTCCCCTCCACCCTTTCCATCCCTCTTGTCTGACCAGTCCTGCCTTCTAGAAGTTGATGATCTAAGACAGACAGCCCTTGTGCGCACCCTCAGTGTGAGAGTGGAAGCAGCCGGCTGGCTGGCAGGAGGCAGGAGTGAGGAGGCCTGCTGGAGCCCTGCATCCCCCACCCATGAGCGGGGCAGCTTGACAAAGCCCACAGCTGTCCGTGCTTCTCCTGTCCATGAGGGTGCCAGCCATCCGCCTCCCTGAAGGCCCTCCATGCTCAGAACATCCTGGACCGAGAAGAAGACGCATGGGCCCTGACATTTCTGGGCAGCCCCACCTCGCCCAGCCCACTGCTCACCACACTCAGCAGTGTCCTGTCTGGAGTCGGCTTTGAAGGTCTGCTTTGGCTAGGTTTCATTTTTTACAGCTTTCTTGAGATCCTATGGACATTGAACACACTTCACACACATTGCACAACTGGATGGGTTTTGACTTTAATATACACCCATGAAACCATCACCACATTCACACTCACGAACACATCCATCAGCCCCAGACTTTCTTCACGCCCTTTGTAATCTCTCCCTCGCCCTCCCACTCCCAAGGCAAACCCTTACCTACTTTCTACCACTAGACACTGGTTTTCCAGAATTTTATATAAACGGAATCATAAGGCATGCATTCTCTACGGTCTGCCTTCTTTCACTCGGCATCCTTATTTTGGGGTTTATCCGTAGTCCCTGTTTACTGTTAAGTAGAACTCCACTGCATGGAGAGACCACAATTTTGTTTACATGTTCAGCTGTTGCCAGACATTTGGATTGTTTCCAGTTTGAGGCTGTTACACATATATTTCCTGCGATCAGCTGCGTACAAATCTTTGTACAGACATTGGCTTTTATTTCTCTTGGGGAAACACCCAGCAATGATATGGCCATGTCCTATTATGGGTATATGTTTAATTTTTAAGAAACCACTGAGTTGTTTCCCAAAGAAGTTGTGCGTCGTCCCCTCCCACCAGCGGGGCCTGGGAGTCCCAGATGCTCCCCGGAGCCCAGACACAGGGCTTGCATGGGCTTCCCTAGGTCTCCTTTCCTCCCAACTACTGTGGTCGGTCCCAAGTGGGGAGTGCCTGGAGGGAGGGGCAGAGACCAGGTGACTCTCTTCACACAGTGCTCAGTCAGCTACATTTTTTTAAAAAGATTTTATTTATTTATTTGACAGAGATCACAAGTAGGCAGAGAGGCAGGCAGAGAGAAAGGAAGGGAAGCAGGCTCCCTGCTGAGCAGAGTCCCCCCTGCCCATGTGGGGCTCCATCCCAGGACCCTGGAATCATGACCTGAGACGAAAGCAGAGGCTTTAACCCACTGAGCCATCCAGGCACCCCAGTGAGCTACATTTTAATAAAGAGGGTTGACAAGGGCTTGTGTAGTTCCACAGTACAAGGTCATATCCCTGACTGCCTGAGAAGTCTTCATTAAATTCCGTGTTAATACCATTTCAGAGGAAGCGTGGGCCCCACTCTCCATCAAGGGGATTAGCTGCCCTATCTGAGCTCGGGGCAGACTCTGTGGCCCCAAGCAGGCCTGCGTGCTCTTATCCCCATCCCCTCTGCCTCACACAGGCAGCCAGAGCTTCTGCAAGGGTTGGGCAACCCTGTGGCTCCGGCCAGTGCCTGTGTACTGCCTTTTGGGGTCAAGGCCACCCAGAGTTGCCTCCCATTACCATTGCATGGAGCAAGAGTTTTGCAATAGCAGTTCCTGCCCTGGAGAGCTGGTGAGAACTTCTCCTTAGCAAAGCCTGCAACAAGGTAAGGGGCAGGGAATGGAGCGACCAGAGGGGGACAGGGCCGGAGCTCTGGAGCAATCAGGGCAACAGAATCAGCCCTACTCAAAGGGGCAGCAGTCCCTTCTCGCAGGTCTGATTTGCTCAGAAATTTGTATTAGGGCAAAGTTCATATTCTAGCGGAAGACATCATGTTCTAGTGGAACTCCAGTGTCGAGTTCATGTCTGCCTTGAGAACAGAGGGAGAGGAGAGACCTGGCAGAGACCTCTTACGTTCAAAGAGGAGGCAAAGAGTTCTGCTCCTGGACCAGAACTCATCTGAAGGAAATCAGGGGCTGGGAATGGGGAAAATGGACCCTCTCCCCATTTGGGGAGGGATGGAAGGACAGTGCCGAGGTCCAGCCTCTAGCTCCACACTGCCCCCACCCCCAAAGAGTCCCCACCAAGTCCAAGGAAGAGTGCAAAAGCTCCAAAGACATTAGAGGACTGGGGACCCCTGGCAGAAGCTTCCACAGTCACCATAGCCACCCCTGGTGCTGCATGGGGACGTGCATGGAACATGGGAGTGACTCCAGAGCCCATGTCTAGCCCAGCGGCACCCGGAAGAGCACCTGGGGGGCACTTGCCACAGACTCCCTCAAATTCCTGGGAGAATTTATGAGGGGGCAGTGAAGCCTGCATGAGTGCAGAGACTGTCAGCCAGTGTGATTTTGGTCACAGCGCTTGATGGGACCTTGCTGTTCCCAGGCTGGGGATACCCTGGAAAACTTGGGCAACGTCATTATTTCTTGAAACAAGATGTCACTCAGATCATCCAATGTACACGAGTTCCCCCACTTTGTCAAATCGTTCCATGCTCAACAGAATGCTATGAGGCCCCCAGGATATGCCAGAAACACTGTGGTTGGTTTGGGGATTCAGAGATTTTTATCATAGATTCGTTCTATTTATGTATAATATTTATATATTTTTCTATATTGTGTACCATCGATTTATATATTATTTTTATGTGTTTTTATGTATTACATATAAAAGATATAAAATCCCTACTTTTAAGAACGTCACAGTGGGGAGGAGGGAGCAGCTGAGATGATTACCAATCCCGTAACTGAAGCCATGATAGAGATAAGCCCCCGGGGGCGGGGGGTGCAGACGGCACAGAGAGAGGGCTGCATGGCTCAGGGGCGGTCTTGACCAGGCTGAATCTTAAAGGAAAAAGAAGAGTTGGCCAGACCAAGAGTGTAGGAACGAGCATAGCCCAGGGAGGGAAAGGCATGCCAGGCTCTGCGGGGAACCACAGGGCTCTTTGGGAGCCACACATGGTTCTCTGTGGTTGGAGTTGGGGAGTCCCGGGGGTGTGGTCTGGAACGAGGCCAGCTAGGTACAGAAGGTCCCATGCAGAGGCTCTACCTCTACCAAGGGCAGTGCAGGTCCTTGAAGGGTTTTAAAAGGAAAGAGTCTGATCAAATTCACACTTAGGGAAGACTGTTCTGAGAGCAGAGTGGAGGATGGTTTGGGGGAGAAAGACTTGAGGCAGAGGGGATTTTGCCCCGCCCCCCCCCCCCTCCCCCCCCCCCCCCCCGTGCCTGTGCATGCTCGCTGGCGCGCGCGCACGCGCTCTCTCTCTCTCTCTCTCTCTCTCTCTCAAATAAAAAATCTTTCAATACAGACACATTTAATCCACATGACAACACTATGCAGTAGGTGCTTCAGTAGCCCCATTTTACAGATGATGGAACTGAGGCCCGTGAGACTGAGTAACTAGCCCAAGGTCTGCAGTCCAGCCCTGAAATCCACAGCTCTCCCCCATGTATTGCAGTAGTTCAGGCAAGAGAGAATAAAGTGTTGCCTAACACTGTCCTTGAAGATGGCAAGGGGCAGATAATCAAGAGAGATGCTAAGAGACAGCCTCATGCGAGGGGCCTGCCAGGGGCAGGCTGTTTCCTGTAGACTGGTAGCCCAGATAGGAGGGTGGGGTCAGAATTCCCAGAGACAAGCTTTCTACCTGCTGCACCTTGTGGGACCTACTTGCAGCACCTGTGGGACCTCAGGGGAAACGTCAAGAGGCTGCACGAGGCTCAAGCTGCACAAGGAGTTTGCGCTGCAAAGAGAAGTTTGGAGGGAAACCGGGCACTGAAGGTGTGGGAGACCCCAGCACTTATGGGGTGGGTGCTGAAGCCCGGGGAGCAGATGGGCTGGCCTGGGGAGGGCAGGGAAAGAAGAGGACCTACATTGGTCCTCTCCTCTGGATGTTCCCCAGGGAACATCCAGATTTGAGGAATGAATGGAGAACTAAAGCCACAAAATGAGACCAAGGTTCAGGAGAAATAGGAAGAGAATGAGGTCAGTGGGATTAAATACTGCAGAGGTCAAATGAGACTTGAACAATAACCATTTCCCCGTAATTACAGTTACGAGGCATACAGCAGGCTGGGAGAAAACATCTTAACATAATTGACAAATGTGAGATAGTATGAGTAGATAGGGTAACTAACAGACCCTTTTATGAGTTGCCAATGGGAGAATAAATTGATAGGGTCTTTTCTTTTTTTCTTTTTAAAATTTTTTTAATTTTAAGATTTTATTATTTATTTGCTAGAGAGAGAGACAGAGAGAGAGCACAAGCAGGGGGAGTGGGAGAGGGAGAAGCAGGCCTCCCGCCGAGCAGAGAGCCCAATGCAGGGCTTGATCCCAGGACCCTGGGATCATGACCTGAGCCAAAGGCAGATGCTTAACCACTGAGCCACCCAGGTGCTTTTCGTATGGAAGCATAGTGGATACACAATGTTATATTAATTTCAGGTGTATAACACAGTGACCGGACAGTTCCATACATTACGCCACCACAATACATGTAGTCACCATTAGCAGATACAGCCTTATCAAAATTTAAATGGGCACCAATATGACCCAGCAAAATTACACTTAAGCCACACAAACCATCATACAAATTCCCAGAGACGTACATCCAAAGATGCTCGTAGCAAGTCTTAAATATTCATCCACAAGGCAATTATCTGATCAATCATGATACATCCACCCCATGGACTAGTATGTTGTCAGGGAAAAAAGAAAGGTGGACCTATGTGCAGCCCATGACAGCATGGTGAAGTGCAGAATGACATCATTAGTCCCATATCATTTGTTTTCGGAAGAAGAAGAAGGAAAGCATGTCCATACATGCATGTGTGGAAAAGTCTGGAAAGATGGACACAAGATCTGTGTGAATCTAAGGACAGAAAGCAGTCCTTCCAGTTCGACTTCAGATCTTTTGGTGGTCCCTCTATTCTTTACAGTATGCAGGCTTTGTTGTTATAACCGTAAAACCGCTTTATTTAAGAAATGGGCGTGCTTGCTTCAGCAGCAGATATATTTAAGAAAGGGGCTTATTGGACGTCGTGGCCTGAGGTCGTTGGTAGTGTTGGCAAGAGCTGTTTCAGCAGAGGGATGGGAAGGGAGCTAGCAGCAGTGGGCTGAGCAGTGAAGGAGAGGAGGCGAGGGGGAAGTAGCCACTTTCTCTAGAAGTCCACCGTGAGCAGAGCGCTGGGGGCACAGTAGCTGGAGGGGTCCTACGACAGAGGGTGGGTGACAGAGACATGAGCCAACTCAAGGAAAGAGATGGCGGATGGGGCAGAAGGGCCAGGAGGCAGACCCCTCAAGGACGCGAGAGGCAGGGTGTCCCACAGCCGGGGCAGGAATTCACCGGAAAGAGAAGAAGGGATGCTTCTCACGCTGACCCTAGAAGGAAGGAAGAAAGTGTGTAACAAGTGCAGGCAAGTCTGTTCCCCAAGGGCTGGGGTTGCCTGCATCTTCCTTGTAAAGAAGGACGTGCAGGTTGGAAACGCTCAGAGACAGCCTGAGCAGGCTCAGTCTCTCCTTAGCCTGGCAGGCTCCTCCAGAAAGCCTCAGACAGGTAGGTGTGAAAATGCCCAGTGCTCACCACAGAATCTCCAGGCAGATCTCTGGCCTGGAGTCAGAGTCCTAGGACCAACCTCATTGCTCCTCTGAGGGGACGCCTCCCCCTGGTGGGCCTCCTGGAATTCACCCTGGTGACCCCAGGTCAGACGTTTCCCTCTAAAGCTGCTTCACTTTTTTTCCTGCCAAACAGTGCTGACTGCTCCCAAGCCCCTAGCCACGGAGGAGATCAGGAGCCACTCCTACGACGACAGCAACTGTCGTGGCAAATACCAGGTAAGTGAGCTGTTCCGAGCAAGGGCCGCCAGGGACTCGTGTCTGGTGGAACTTCACTCTCCTCTCTGAGTCCCCTGAGAACTGATGGGTTGGACTGCAGGAGCAGGAACATAGAGCTAAAGAGAAAGACATATTCACCTGGACAGTGTGGCCCAAAAGAACTTTCTGCAGTCCCGGGGGTGTTCTATATCAGCACTGTCCAATATGGTAGCCACTTGTCATGTGCGAGCCTTGAACCCTTGAAAGGCAGCCGGTATGACTAAGGAACTACATTTTTCGTTCTCTTTCAACTCAATTTCAGTAGCTATGTATATCCAGTAGCTATCGTGCTGGACAATACAGATCTAGAACGATCGCCTCATTTTCCAGCAGACTGCATCAAGGCCCAGCGAGAATTGACTAGTCCGAGCTCATCTTGACCACCAGCAACAGAATCAGCCCATTCTACTCACCCCACCATCCACGTGCAGGTGCCAGACCAACCTAATGAATATCAAGAAGCGGGCCGGTGGGGGGGGGATGTCAAATCTGGGCTCCTCTTTCTACACCTTTTTATTCCGTTGTCTGGGACTGAAAGGTTCCTAACCGAGCTCGGAAAGCTGAAACTAGGCTCCAGCCCCTTGTTACAGTGGACAGAATACAGAGTTTGAAGTCAGGTAAAAACATTTCTTAAAAACTGTTTAAACGCCAGTTCCCTGTGTCACTCTGATGAGGTTGCTTAACTCCCAGAGTCTGGTTTCCTCATTCAGAAAGTGCACACTTCACGCCTTTGTTATGAGGATTAAATATGTACCAATTCTTTTTGTTCAAGATTGTTATTTTTTTTTAAGATTTTTTTTTTATTTGACAGACAGAGATCACAAGTAGGCAGAGAGGCAGGCAGAGACAGAGAGAGGAGGAAGCAGGCTCCCCACTGAGCAGAGAGCCCCATTTGGGGCTCGATCCCAGGACCCTGGGATCATGACCTGAGCCGAAGGCAGAGGCTTTAACTCACTGAGCCACCCAGGCACCCCATCAAGATCGTATTTTTAACTGATCTCTATACCCAGGGTGGGGCTCCAGACCCCAAGATCAAGAGTTGTTGCGTCCTCCCCCGACTGAGCCAGCCAAGTGCCCCTCAATGCACAAGTTCCGAAAAGCACTTTTCCCAGAAGCTGGACCTTAGCAGGGACCCAACACTAGAGCTCACGTGACTCTTGTTATCCAGGCCAGAGCCGATGGGGCTGTACATCAAAGTCTGCCCGGAAAGCAGACCCACTGCTTTTCCTTCCCTGGGGCGGGTGTACTGGGACAGACAGTCACGGCACTAGTTGATAAACTGTTCCAGAGACGAAGATCGCCCTAACAAACGCTAATATCAGGCTTGCTGTATGTCTTAAGTGCTTTACGGGTAATCCCTCGTTTGAGTCTCAGCACAGCCCAGCGGGTTAGATGCTATCACTGGCCTCATTTTACAGATGAGTAAACCAAGACTCGGAAAGGGAAAGTCACTGGCCCCGAGTTGCTGGGCTCACTCAGTCTCTAACCACTGCCTTCCTGTGCCTCTCTCCGTGCATAACAAGCCTCTGCCTGGTTTTAGCATCACTGGGCCAGGAGTCACTGCATTCTTCTCCAGCATGGGAAAGAGAGAAGTGACAAAGAATGTTTGCTAAACAGTTAGGACTCGAAGATTCTTTCCTAGGGGTAAGCAAGTTTGTTGCAGGCTTCGAGCGAGCGCTCCGCGGGTCCTGGGATGCAGGGGCAAGAGGCATAGTGGAGGGGCTGGAGGCACGGTTTGCTGGGGGGAGGGGGAGCTTGGGAGGGAGCCGTGAATCAGTGTTCACTGTTCTGCCTGTATTTATCCTTTCCACGGTAATTAATAACAAATGTACATTCTCAGTGTCACTCAACTCTGCTTTCAAAATGTGTTCGGACTTGGATAAGATGTGAATTTTTGCAAAAAGCCTTTCTTTCCAAATGAGATGGTCTTGGCTCCAAAAGTGGCCAGCCACACACACCCAATCCCAAGTGTACAGACCAAGAAAGGGCTCTGGTGGTTCATGGGGTGGGGACAGGAGGCATTAGGTCCAGGATCACCAGAAGCTCAAGTTCCATCTCTCTCATCTTCATGAGCTGCTCTCCTTTGAGATGGGAGAACGGTTCAAGAGCAGGAGGGCTGGGGGCTCCCGAACAGGGGGCAGCCCGAGGCAGCTAGGGTATGGGGACAGTCAGACAAGGCTGCTGAAAGAGCCAGGGTCTGCTGAGACCAGGGCTAAAATGAGAGAAATCCATGCCGTCCTGGGCAAACCATTGCCTTTGCATGGGCCTCAGTTTGCTCCTCTGTGAAATGGAAAGATTGACTAGAAAACACCACAGGTCCCTTGCCAATATGAAACTCTACCAGGTCAGAAAATAACTCGCCATCCAAGAGCTGACCTGAGAATTAATTATTCAAGTTATCAAAAGCATCCAGCAGCCTGAGGACTCCACCCTTGAGTTGAGCAATGTAATCCACCACTCACTTCCTCCACTCTCTTCTCACCACCACCGCCCTGTCAGTCAGACACATCTGCCCTCCTGGACGGGTCCCACAGGTGAAAGGCCCAGACTCCTGGTAAGTCTTGGAACACCCCCTTTCTCACCTTCCAGAATGTCTCTGTTCTCTGACCCCCTTGACACCCAGCCCCCAATGACCCCAGACATCTCTCCCCACCCCGGGGTGGGCTTCTTTCCTCTTAAGGCCTCCCTAGATCCCCAAAGGGAAAGCTCCTGCCCCTCTTCCTTACTCCTCTCTCCAACAACCACTTAGGGCAACTCTCTGCCCAGCCGCTTCCCTTCCTGACTCAGCCAGCTCCCCTGCTTTGACTAGGATTGGGTCCAAGGAAGGGCCAGACATCGTCCAGCCCCCCTTCCCCTATATTAAATGCAAATATTGTGGATTATATTTATAGAGAGAAAGCATACTAGAATTGTTTTAAAATTCCTGAATTTTCTATCGTGATTGAAAAGATTGCCTTCAATGTTTGGGATCTTGTATGTCTCCGTTGTTTAGCATTTTTATAAAAATGAATTAGAATCATCCCATCCATGGAGTTTCTGAATGACCATGAGTCATTAGGGTCCTGCCATTTCACTCAATGAGGGAATCTCCCGCTTGTTCACTGAGAACATGACCAGGAGGTCGGTGGGAGTCAGCCAATTTAAGGGTGTTTTGTTTATCATTCTTGCAAGGACTATTTCTTTCGTTCTAGCCCTACTGAATAGATAAGAAAACAACGCACAAAATATCAAACAATAGGAGTAAACTGTATGCAGTCTGACTTCATGAGATCTTGAAAACTTAACTTACAAATATATTTCAAAAATATTTAATATAGGAGGTATGATTTTTTTTTTTTTTTTAAAAAGCAGGTCTGTAGACTGTAAGTTAATCCACACCTACATGGAATCCAGGCTGCAGCATTTGTAGGCTCTGTGACCATGGGCTGATGTTTGAGCCCCTCTGTGCCTGTCTTCTCATCTGTAGTCAGGGCCCCTCTGTGCTATCTTCTCATCTGTAGTCAGGACTAATCATACCTATCCGTAACACTCCAGGGAGGTCATGTACCCCCGAGGCACAAAGCAGACCTCAGACAGGTCAACTCCTTTCCCTTAGTTTCTCCCTTTGACTGTCAACACATCCTCCCTAGAGACTGGTAAACTGAAAAACCCACAAGCATCCACAAAGCATTGTCTCCCCAGTGGCTGGAGGTCACTGCCCTGTCCTGCTTCTCTTGCCTGAATTCTCCACCTCCTGTCCTGACTTTCAGGGTCTCCCTCTGGACCCTCAAGCAGATCTTTCATGTCTGGGAGTGGGAGCTCCCCTGTGTATCTCCAACCCCTCCCCCACACAGCTGAGCACTGGCTTATTTAGAATGAGGACTTACCAGTGAAGTATGCTTGGCTGTTGTTGTCTCCCGATAGGGCAGTTTCTGCTTCCACCCTGGCCCTGCCTTCTCACGGTCAGTGTTCCTAAATACGGGCCTCTCCTCTATGGGCACAAGCTCTCTGTCCCATTATGCTCTGCTAAAAGTGGGCCTTCTCTAGGTCATTTCTTCCCTTGAGAGCATCTCTGATCATCTGTTCGCAGAGGTGACCCATTCTTTTTTTTTTTAATATTTTTATTTATTTATTTGACAGACAGAGATCATAAGTAGGCAGAGAGGCAGGCAGAGAGAGAAGGAAAGGAAGCAGGCTCCTTGCTGAGCAGAGAGCCCGATGCGGGGCTTGATTGGGATCATGACCTGAGCCAAAGGCAGAGGCTTTAACCCACTGAGCCACCCAGGTGCCCCGAGGTGACCCATTCTTGACCTTGTGACTTCATTGGACATAACCCTGGGATAAACATCCTCTTGACCGTGGGCTGGCAGAACTAGTGACTTGTCACAGGTCTCGCCAGCAACACTGGCTGAGTTGTATGGTGGCCTTTCCCATTATTACCTTATCTCCCTGGCTAGACATTCCCCAAATGCATCAGATCTTTCTAGGTTCACAGACTGAGTCTGCTCTATGGTCTCCGTGGGCTGAGAAGCTGATTTCACTGGCCACAATCACCTAAACTAAGAATTCCGTCACTCCAGGGGAAAGGGCATTGCTTTTCCAGTTTCTCTTAACCCTATTCGGCTTTCTTCTTTGCTCTATATGATTGAGAGTAACAGACCTCCCTCTGCTAAAGAGAAAAGCTTCTCGAAAGTTTCATTGTTGATGTGGTTGTTTTACTACCTGTGTTTGCTTCTCAAAGGTGTTCCCCCTTTGGTTAATTTTTTTCTAATTGAGATGGAATTCTCACTCTGTAAAAGTCACCCATTCACAGGGTACAACTAGTGGTTCCTAGTATTTGCGTGAAGCTATACAGTCCTCCCACTGTCTAATTCCTGAACACTTTCATCAGCCTGGAAAGAAACCCCTCCCTCTAGCACCTGGCAACCCAGATCTACTTTCTGTCTCTACTGATTTGCCTCTCCTGTACATTTAGCATACATGGACTCGTACAGTATGAAGCCTTTTATGTCAGGCTTTTTTTTATTTTTGGCCTGGAATAACGTTTTCATGGTTCATCCACGTCGCAGCAGATGTCAGTCCTTTATTCCTGTTGTTGGTTGGATAACAGCCTATGGTCTGTGTGCACCTCCGTTAGTTTCTCCATTTATCGGTTGATGCACATTTGAATTGTTCCCACTGTTCGGCTGTCACGCTGCTGTGAACATTTGTGTACAAGTTTTTGGGGGGACATAGGTTTTCCATTCTCTTGGGCGCGTATCTAGAAGTGAAATTGCTGGATCATTGGTAACTATGTTCGACGTTTTGAACAACTGCCAAACTATTCAAAGCAGCCGCTCCACTGGCGCATCTCCACGAGCAATATATGAAGGGTCCCATTCCCCACATCCTCGTCAACAGCGTTACTGTTCCTCTTGTTTTATGATGATCCTATGGAGTATTGAAATAATTCTGGAGCCTTAGTATTTTGTGTTTTTCTCTTTAACGCTGGTTCCATTTTGAGGTGGGTTACCTCCTTGCGTATGGTCCCAGGACGGTCATACCTTGTCATAAAGAAATGGCAGAGTACTGATGCATCTTGTGGTTCACAAGGAACTCACTTGGGAGCTGGTTTACTTTCATTTACATCCTCTTTGAAAACTGAGTAAAATTTCAGAGTGACTGCAGCTTCCCCCGAAAGCAAGCTTTGGGTTATCCCCAAAACAAGGGCAGAGCCAACAGAAGCGGGTTTACCTGGACTTCGTCTGGAGGTGCTGGGGAGTCAGGGATGGATGAAGGCACTCACTGGCAGGACAGAAAGTGTCCCCACCAGAATGGAAAAGCCACCAAAACAAGGATAGTGTGTCTCCACCCGTCTGCACCTCCTGATAGGGCACAGGTGCCACTGCCTGCACCTGTCTCAACCTGTCTTCTCTGCTTCCCACTGCCTCTCCCATTGCTGGGAGCACTCTGGATTTCTCTGCTCACTTCCACGTGGCAGTCCACGGCTGTGACAGTCTGTCACATTTCACCCGCTTAGAGAATCAGTCAGCCACCTGCTTAGGATTTTTAATATACTTTTTTCAAACTGCACAAATATTCCCACAGCAGGTCTCCTGCATCCTGAAATTAAAATGCTGGGCTGTAGATGAGCTTTCTTCTAGGGGCACCCGGGTGGCTCAGTGGGTTAAAGCCTCTGCCTTCAGCTCAGGTCACAATCTCAGGGTCCTGGGATCAAGCCCCACATCGGGCTCTCTGTTCAGCAGGGAGCCTGCTTCCCCCTCT